CTATTACAGGATATATTGGGAATATTAAAATTTATAGACGAAGAGTGGAAAGATTAAAGGGAACAATTTTGTCTCTTTTAGAACCGTATCTCGATCAGGTACTACGTCTACCAAGATAATTACTATAATAGTGTAAGAATTATTGCAATTTCACTCAAGATTAAAGTAGGAATATGCGGAATTATGAGAGAAACAGGGGCCTTGCATCAAATTTCAAACCATAAGAACCAAAGTTGAGCCAATATGAAACGACCTTTAGATGAAATGGTGAAATTCTCTTTCTTTCATGGAAAGATACTCGACTAGTACATATGATTTCGACAATTTATGATGCTAGCACATTTCGTAAAATATGTCGAAATCGTAACATAAAAACGAAGCCTACTTGTATCGATAAATATATGATACTAACATGAAACGAGTGGATAGAGCAAATCAATATTTGTCATACTATTCAATACTTAGTAAAAAAATGAAGTGGTGAAAAAAAGTGGCGGTTTGGATAATTAATTGTGCATTATTCGGTTCATTCGTAGTATGTAAAAAGTTAAACGCTACGAATAAATTACAATATACATTTTTTTTACTTAGATTGATGAATGATTGGGCAAGTAATGATTCTGAAGCAGCAGAAGAAGATGTAGTTAAGATTGTCGTCAACATGTACCAGACATGCTTCTTATAGGGATCCGCCAGGAAGATAATCTGGCATTATGCGCCAGCTTCTTTTAGAACAAATTGTTGGCACTGGAAAATAAAAGTATCCAGGGAGAAAATGCGGCGTATGTACTGCAAACAGAAGGGGCGACAGGCGATATATTGGTAAATTTTGCTTAGTACCTCTCCATCGGGGAAATTGTTTCCAAGCATATCACACTAAAAAATGGTACTAGAAGTATCTTCAAATATGCTCATTGATTTTTAATAAAATATACTTGTTAAATGCTATTAGGTCGCTCGGAAAATTCGTCTCCGATTTTTAATAAAATATTACACTTGTTTTAAATGCTATTGGTTCGTCCAGAAAGTTTGTTCCACCTTAACAAATATAAGGAATTTGGTCAACATAAAAAAATCGTGTTGAAGTTTTTTGCCGAAAAGCCTGAGGTCCTGGAAAGATGGAATATTGAAGCTACGTGAAGAATGTAAAAGGTTCTGGAACAAAATATCGTACCTATATAATTCAATAAATGTATATCGAATCGAAATGTAAATCCGAACGAACATGCCGACCGTTGATTTGTATCTTTTCAATTGCTCCATAAACAGCCAGGAATTCAGGCTATGTGCGTGTCAGAATAGCCGGTACCGAGGGTGTTAAGGGACTGTACCTTCTAGATATGATATAGAGTGGTCATTGTTATGCTCTGTCCGACAGTTAGATCACGACCACTGATCTTCATAAGACGGAGGAGAACGGTACACTATGACGGATTGGTTTAATTTGCCTCGTTGTGTCCGATGGTCATACCACCACCTAAGAGTGTCATAAGATGGATGATTTTTGTGTAATTGTTTTGCTACAAAAGGTGGTTTTTTGTGTGTAATAAATAAAGTTTATTTAATACTAAAAAGTAAATATAATTATATTTTTAAAAAACAGATAAATTTTCAAGATCAAAATTATAACATAAGTAAAACAATTGTTTGTTACTTAGACATTCTTAATCTCATTTACATATAGAGTTAATCCAGTATATACATCTAATAATGTGGTTTCATTTGGACAGTGTTGATCAGAAAATTCATATATGTGTGCACTCAAATTTCTACTTACCATATCAAGTTTAAATCATATCTAATATTTATAATTAAATTTTACTAGATCAATTAAGTGGTTGCTTTTTTACAACATACCATCGTCAATCGTGCGAGAGTGTTATGTCTATAAACAATTTAATAATCTTTCAGTTATCGGAACTGTGTAATCATTCCGTTGTGTACAGTTTAAGTCAAGAAACATGATATTCCGTATTAATACTCAACCATCAAGCAATTATCAATGAAGTTTATATAAATATCGTAAAAATGCATATCACATTACATAATTCAATTTATAAGTAAATAAATAAATAAATAATTCCACAACGCAAGTATTCAAGATAGATAAATAAATAATTACATTAATTGCTTAAATAGATGGATACAACAGAATACATAAGAGAAGTTGTCGGATAATTAATTTCCTTACTTGTTTAAATAGTTTTATTTTCTAGGTTATGCCTTATGTCTACGTCTTATGAAGAGCTCATATTGTTTTTCTTCGGCCTTCATTATGGAGTCAGAAAATATTTGGAATTTCTTCCATATATTATCGTCAGCCATTACAAACTTAATTATATTCCCCATGTTTATGTTTTCACCGATAAGGTTTTCAAGGGCTGTACATTGAGTGATTCATCTTGAAAAGTTGTATGATGCATGTTCCGCACCATCGGGCTGTTCTCTGGAATTCCAATATTGGTTAGTGTTTTTTTTATTTAGTCTCACTCTATTTTCTTACTAGCAAATATTGCAGCGCATTAATTATTTTTCTTGTCCAGTTATCTTTGTTATGGTGTCTCCATTCTTCTTTCCAGGTTTTTATAGCTTTTTCAATCGTGTTTTCAATTTCTTCTTTTTATTTTATAAATCTCTGCTCTCATTCGCGCTTTATTGTGTATAAGCATGTTATCTGTCAATGCGCACAGCGCTGCATGTGATACCGTTCTGTAAACTGTTGATGTTCTGGTCAGTGGCATTTTTTGTGCACTTTTCGTTATTTTCTTATTTTTACTCATTTTTAGCACTCTAGTCCATATCGGTATGGCGTACATTAACACAAACTCCTAGATATTACAGTATAGTCTTCTAGCGCGGTTCGATGCATTGCAGGACTTCTGCATATACGTATCTTTCTATCGTTTCGAACGTATTAGTGACAACTATTTTCCTTTTGGATAAATAATTATCTATGAGCCTCACCATTTTAAAAATTATTCTCCTTTCCCTGATCTCAGCGAGTATATTTGTCCATTTTATTGTGTTACAAGCGTTTTTAGTATCTATAGTAACCAGCACTGGTATTTATTAACTTTTTTTATTTTTACAGGAGTCCGCTATTTTCATTAACCGACAAGCAGCATCTACCGTGCTATGCTTCTTCCTGAATCCATGCTGGTTATTGTCGAATAGATCCACTCCAATACATCTTTTTATCAATTTCTTTAATATATTTTCCCACATCTTACTTAGTACCGGTAAAATGCTAATCGTCCTATAAGCGCTGGGATGTGAGGGATCCTTCCTCGGTTTTGGTAGTAGTATTACCCTGGCTGTCTTCCAAATTCTCGGAATTCTCCCATCCTCTGTGATATCATTAAACATTCGACATACTTCGTTCGTTCTCTTTTGAGTGATCAGTGTAACAATATCCCCTGGGATTCTATCTCACCCGACCGTTTCCTTAGACGTTATTTTGTTAGCTGTTTCTATTATGTCATCTTTACTATTATTCAAATCGATATTTATTTCGTCATTGTCATTTCTATAGTAAATTTCTTTTGTCGGAAACTCCGGTTTTGTACTAAATAGTCCACTTCCTCTTTCAATCCCTTACCAAAAAAGGGCAAAGTTTTCCCAGCCGATAGTTTTATATGTAAGATTATTCTCACTTTGTTTTTTTCTTTAGTCCTCCTTTTTGGGGTGTCCAATTCATCAGCTGTGTCTACTATGCTGACCGCTTCCTCATCTTCAGAATCCTCGGTCGCTGTTACCAATCGAAGGTGGCCCTGGGACCGACGCTCCTCTCGTCG